CGCCGTACCAAAACCAGAATTTCAGCGGATACAGATGTTATTGTTGACCTGTGCACGGACGAGAACATCCGGAATCCCTCGGACCCAGACCTCTCTCAGCCAAGACATAGTACTTCCGCCGGAAGAGAATCCACTGAAGTCAATAAAGACATCTTGCCTAACCATAAGCCAGATCCTGCCCAGACAGAACGTGAAACTTCACCTTTAACCGATGAACAGTGTAACATTACAAATAAGCAAGCCAAGCCACGTGACCTAACAGTCACCGCCCAGCTACATGGCCAAGACATTAAGTTACTCGTAGACACCGGAGCAGGCATGTCAGTAATTGATGAGCAGTTTGCACGAGACATCTATAAAGGTGAACTACCCAAGTTACAGAAAAGCGCCCTCGCTAACGTCAAAACTGTCAGTGGTGAGGAACTGCCAGTGCTTGGAAAAATTAAAGTCACGCTTCAAATAGCAGGAGGAAAATATCCCTGTGAGTTACAAGTAGTCAAGAACCTCACATACGAAGCTGTTCTGGGTCGAGATTTCTTGAGAGCTAATGGTGCAGTGATAAACTTACGACAAGGAACTTTACAATTAGATGACAGCCCCACAGACCAGTTGGCCGCCGGTATTTCTTGTCCAGTTCGAGTATTATCAACTTGTGTCATCCCTCCTAGTTCAGAAACAGTACTTCCTGTCAGTCTGGATTCGGAATTTTCAGCTGGGACTGTTGGCTTGATAGAAACATCTCAGCACCTGATGGACCGTTATCAACTACAGGGCGCCGCAGTTTTGGCTACTGCAACCGCTGACCACACAGTACCCTACAGGCTGATTAATCCAACAAGCAAACCTGTTACGCTCTATAAGGGAGCAAACCTTGGAACTTTTACCAGCCATAGTAGCAACTTGCAAGTTTTCAGCCTTGACACAGAAGTCTCACAGCAAGGAAAACCTGAAACAGACATCCCTGACGTCCCTGTTGACTTCTCAAACTCTGCCCTGACGGAATCACAGCAGAAACAACTTCAGCAGTTAATAAACGAATACAGGGATATCTTCGCTCTGTCTCCAGAAGAGCTAGGAAGAACCAACTGGGTCCAACACACCATAGATACTGGTGATGCCTCTCCCATCCGCATGCGACCTTACCGAGTACCTGAAGCCCAGAAAGAGAGAATAGAGAAGTGTATTGACGAAATGTTGGACCAAGGGGTTATCCGCCCCTCAGCGTCGCCCTGGGCAAGCCCTGTAGTGCTTGTTAAGAAGCCCGATGGCTCTGATAGGTTCTGCGCCGACTTCAGAAGGGTGAACGCTATTACCAAGAAAGATTCCTACCCATTACCACGCATAGCAGAGAGCTTAGATGCCCTGGCTGGTACCCAGTACTTCTCTAGCATGGATTTGATGTCCGGCTACTGGCAGATCGAGATGGACCCTGAGTCTCGAGAAAAGACCGCCTTTGTCACCCATGCTGGCCTGTTTGAGTTCAATGTGATGGCATTTGGTCTCTGCAATGCACCGAGTTGCTTCCAGCGCTTAATGGAGTGCGTTTTAAGAGGTTTAAACTGGAGAATAGCGTTGATTTACCTAGATGATGTGCTCGTATATTCCCGTACCTTTGATGAGCATCTACAGCATCTCCGCCTGGTGTTTGACCGATTCCGAGAAGCCGGCCTTAAACTCAAACCAAAGAAGTGTTCCTTTGGCCAGAAGAATGTAAAGTTCCTGGGCCATGTTATTTCACCAGAGGGAGTACAGCCAGATCCTGCAAAGATCGAGGCCATTAAGGAGTATCCAGTCCCCCGCAAGGTAAAAGATGTCCGTGCCTTTCTCGGTCTAGCAAATTATTACAGGAAATTTGTCAAAGACTTCGCCAAAATTGCAGGCCCTCTGCATGAACTCACCAAGAAAGGGTTAAAATTTCAGTGGACCAACGAGTGCCAAGCCGCTTTCGACCTTCTCAAAACAGCTCTGACCCAGGCCCCCATCTTGGCCTATCCTGACTTCACGTTGCCATTCGACTTGTACGTTGATGCAAGCGATGACGCACTTGGTATGGTTCTAGGACAGATACACAACGGCCGGGAGGTGGTAATTTCATACAGCGGACGCAAGTTACTTCCCGCTGAGAAAAACTACAGTGTCACTGAACGAGAAGCCCTCGCCGCTGTAGCTGGTGTCAAGTACTTCCAGCCATATCTGTACGGTCGTAAATTTACAATCCACACAGACCATAATGCAGTGCGCTGGTTAATGAATATCCGGGAACCAACCGGCCGCCTTGCTCGATGGGCATTACTCCTCCAGCAATACGACTTCGAAATTGTCCACCGTTCCGGGAAAAGCAATGGTAATGCTGATGCTCTTTCCAGAAGAGAATATGACTCCCTCGTTGCTGCATTAGACACCCCTGGAGTACAAACAAACAGAATTAAGGACTTACAACGCAAAGATCCCGCTCTTGCCGATATCATTGCGTACCTGGAATTTGAAGACCTCCCCGAGGACAGTAAAGCCGCCAAGAAACTTCTCTACACGATTGAGCAGTATTACCTTGACCCTGATGGAATTTTGTGCCACATTTGGATTCCAGGAGGAAAACGGGTGCCAACGCCCAAGTCTCAGCTTGTGGTCCCTTCCTCCTTACGGCACGAAGTCCTTATAAATGCCCATGACGTACCGACTGGCGGTCACCTCGGAGTAAACAAGACCTATGCCAAGCTTCGAGATCGCTATTTCTGGCCTAAGATGTACATGGATGTCCAACATTGGTGCTTGAGCTGCGAACATTGTGCCATGAAAAAGTCCCCCAAGCAGCGCCAGACAGCACCACTCCTTCCAATCCCAGTGGAAGCACCATTTGAGAAGGTTAGCTGCGACATCAGTGGTCCGTGGCCCGTAACACATAATAATAATCGCTATATATTGGTCTTTGTGGATATGTGTACGAAATGGACAGAAGCATTCGCCATACCAAACATCGAGGCCAAAACCGTTGCAGAAATCTTCGTGAACGAAATTGTCAGTCGCCATGGTGCCCCACGTGTGCTCTTGTCAGATCGTGGATCTAACTTCCTTTCCAGCCTGTTCCGTGAAGTTTGTTTCCTAATGAATACCGACAAGATCTTCACAAGCGGATATAGGCCCCAGACAAATGGATTAGTGGAGAGGTTTAACGGTACCTTGGCACAAAGTCTCTCTATGTATGTCAGCAGCCATCAAAAGGACTGGGACGAGCAACTGAGTTCCGTTCTGTTCGCCTACAGAGTGTCACCTTCAGAAGTTACCGGTGAATCCCCATTCTACATGCTGTATGGTAGAGAACCGCTATTGCCAATGGATACCGCCCTGCTGCCCCCAAGGGAAATGTCCCCGCTGGTCGCCGAGCATAGAGCCCGTGTAGTAGAACACGTGGAAAGGGTGCGGCGAATAGCGGCAGAAAACACACAACGGGCGCAACAGAAGATGAAAGAACTCCATGATCTCCAAGCAGTACCGCCTCCGTTCTCCCTTGGAGACAAGGTGTGGGTTTATACCCCCAAGAACCGTAAGGGGCTTTCCAAGAAGCTAGCTCACAATTACCATGGCCCTTATCGTATCGTCGAGTTTCTCTCTCCAGTACACTGTGTTCTGCGTGCAATGGATAACCGCCGTGTATCCACGACAGTTCACGTAGCTAGAATGAAACGTTACGTGGACCCAGCGTCCCGTCCAATACGTCAACTTCCCGACGACATTGACGAGCCTTACCTGTTGGACAGTGACCTCCCAGACGATAGTTTTGCCGGCGCCCATGTTCCCTCAGCGGACGCCCCAGATCAGATGCCAGAGTTAATCGACTGTTCCGATTCTGAAGACGATGATAATGCCAGTACTGCCGGGGAATTAGACTACGACGCTGACCAACCCGATGATATTTATACTGCGGAAGAAATTGTTAAACAACGATTGCGAAATGGTAAACCAGAATACTTTATCAAATGGTTGGGCTTTCCCGCCAGCCACAACACATGGGAACCAGCAGAAAATATCCTTGACAAGCGCCTCATTACTTCATTTTACAAGAAACACCCCCGCGCTAAACGTCTCGATGCAGATCCAGACTATGCTCCTACTAATGTAGCATTACTTTCCTGGACGGAACGTTCCGCCAGTACTGCCACAGTGGCCGCCCTTGCTCCAAGCTACAAACGACGCGTTTCCCGCCAAAAAGAACCGCTGACCAGTCCTGGATACGTCTCTCATGTGCATGCCACCGATTTGGCCGCTAAACCAAACCTGACCCAGGTTCCTGTGATCCACGCAGACGTTCACAAGGGGTTGAAACCTAGTGCGAACCCAGTTCCCCGCCCACGGACACGGTCTTCTACCAGTGACGTAACTTATCGCGCCCACATCGCCCCAGTTCCCTCTCCCTGGCCTCGACACAGATCCTGGTTGTCACAGTTCCCAGCTACCCGTTTCTGGTTATTTTTGTTGCTCTCGCTAGCAATGGTACCAACCGGAAGCGGAAATGAATACGACGCGACAGGCCGAGAAGTTTCATTTTACCCTAATGCAATGATGTTAGCCACAAATCCAAAGGCTATGGTTTTCTTTCGAGACACCAAGCTCGTGAGCGTGCATTTGAATTTACCGCACGTTCACAAAGGAGATTCAACTGTAATAAATTCCACTTGTGATCCTGAGTTGGCCAAATTTTACGATCGCGTTCTTATGTCTATCCGCGGGGTACAGCGCGCAACTAGTCGCCTCCTCTCAATTCAGGGAGTAACAGACCTTTTGGAGTGTGACTCGTATCTGCGACGCTTCTACGCGTACGTTACCGGTTCGCAATCGACCCTACAGTGCCAGAAACGACATTATGCAAATAGCCTTCAAGATTGTAAAAGTTGGGCCTTGCGTGATTGTCACGCAACCTCCCCACACGAAAACGCTTGGTTGGCTAGTACGAATGACCGCAAACGTCGTTCTCCCTGGTATTGTTATGCTGGATTGGCTGGCATTCCGCGATTTTTCTACACCCTAGGTGGTGGACATTGCGATTCTCCAAACTATTTCGGTCTCACAACGGTCTTACGAGAATATGCCTCAACAATGGACGCGGCACAACGCCTGATTCGTGTTGTTAATGGGAAAACGGTCTACTTAGTCAAAACTACAGATATGCTGAACTCAAAATTAAATCAAGTCATTCATTCCCTTCGCTTGATGGCAGGAGCGTACTCTGGTTGGAATACTCGCTTTGCTGAATACGCAAAGGACCAAAACTGTCACTTTAATTTGCATCATGAGTTTATTTCCCTCTACACAATGGAAGTAAACAAAGCATTGACCTCTTTGTTACGCTTAACAGAGATTGATGACCTATTACGGCAACTGGCGCACGTTTCTCGCAAGAACTTGGTTAGCTATGCCGATCTTCCTGGCTTTCTGACCGCCGATTTGTCAATCAAGCTTGCCACTGTCCCTTCCCTCGCGAACACTCTCGATGCTTTAAAAGATGGTTTCCCACTGCTCATGGAGCCTTTGATTGACTACCACATTGCCAACTCCAGAAACCTTCAATTACATCTTTTGTTCACTCTCCCAACATTGGATCAACATGCCGCTATTTGCACAATGGAACAGTTAGTTCCATTGTCTTATCAAATTAACAACAAGTGCTTTGGCGGAACAATAGCGCGGCATGATCTGGTTTTATTGACCTGTGACAACAAAAGGTATGTTTTGAAACAAGCCGAGCTAGACCAATGCTTCAAGGAAGAAACCACCCTTCTGTGCCCAGCTGATGTCCTGTCTACTGTGGAAAACCCGTTGTGGCTTGGTCTCAAGTGGACCCCCCAAACTAAGCTTTCTTTTCAACATGCCCATTCCCCATTACCCCATTGTCGTAACTTAAGACCACTTGTGCATCTGGGGGGGCGGTTTTATTTATCCACCGTTTTTAATAATATTTCTATTCATACTAACCACAGTTCAAAGTTATTAATGTTACAGCCATTCAGCATTTACCATTTTCCATGTAATGTATGGTTTTCACACCAACGTACTGGGTTAGGACGTTGCCCCGAGCAGCTGACGTTTCAATTTCCTCTGTTTCATGACGGGCAATTTCAGTTTGTACCTTGGGTTGCCCTCCCCTTGCAAAATAACACCGCATTTTCCGTACCCAATTTTGTTATTCCTACCCCATTGCACATTGATAATTCAACTCTTCAGTCCCTCGATACCACTTATGATACCCTAGACCAAGATTTGACCCGTAGGCTACAAAAAGTACGAAAGGATATTAAGAACATTCATCAGGTTTCCCACCCGAGTTTGTTTACAGTGCTAATCTACCTTTGTCTTGCTTTTACCATCTGCAACTTTATTGTTTTGGTCGTGTTTTATCGCTTATTGTCCAAAAAGGTCTCCGGTCCTGTTCCGCCGATTTCCCCTCCTCGCCCTCTGGAAAGCATTCCCCTTACCTC